ACTCCCTGAGTTTCAAGAAAAGCAGATGCGAACAAATCTTTAAAGATAACTTCACAGATTGCATCTGTAAAAATTTTGATAAAGAAAAGCTTTTGGAATTTGACGGAAGAAACAAGTTGCGGAAAACCAGTTCCAAACACAAGGTTTCTATAAGCTCCTTCTTCGTTTTCAAGAATTAACTCACAGGTCGGTGTTTAACCTTCTGGGTAGTATAGATCGAGATTGAGGACTTTCTAATCAACATTGGACGGCAAAAATAGAAACTCATGAAAAAAAATATGACTACTTTCCATCCTAAAATGGAGAAGTTAATTCACTCTTCGGCTGATATGTCAGCTGTTGACAAAAGCACAGTACTGTGGCCTTCGTGTCCTCACCAGTTCAGATATGTCCTCCAGCGTTTTCCCTTTCTGTTCATCCAGCTCACTTTTCTTGGCAGAAACTTTTTCCAATTCCTCTTGAGTTTCATGGAAACCTGTCACACCCTTCTTGTTCTCTAAATTAGACTAAAGACGAGACAAAACAACCCACTTATTAAGGTGTCTTACAAGTTGGAGAGAGTACTCAGTTGCTTTATCAATCGCTCTAATTTTGTAAGAGAAAAGGGGAAAAACTCTCCTAATCAGATATTTCAGAGAAGTAGCAATTTTCATTCTTAAATAGTAAGAAAGACTAAGAACCCATCCACCATCAGAAGGAGTAACACCCCAACCCTCTCTTCCACCAAAAATACAACACTTCATGTGACTGCCTGTGCAGTAGAACGTAGAATATGCTTAAGCATAACAGGTACCTAGTACTGTTACTGGACCTCTACATTAGGCATTTCTGTTTAAGCCCGAACTAAAGCAATGTGCTTCTATTCTTGAGAGGGATGCTTTTAAAAGTTAGGAACAAAGTGCTCCCAAGTACAATAACACTTACCAATTGATGTTGAAATGTCTCATCCTTGCCTTTCAGTATTTCTTCTGTCCTAGCTAACACCCCATACTCTGCACGAAGTTCTGCCAACTGGTAATTCACAAATTTGACAAAATATTATTTTAGAAAATATAAACTCTGACAGATCCAAAATTATCAAAAGGTATTTTAAGGTTATATCAGTGAAGAATGAATCACAGAGATTATATTTCACATGTACCTCTTGTCTTTTCTTTTTATAAACTGTGCTTTTCCCTCTCAGCTTGTTCACATATCTTTTGAACTGCAATAAAAAAGAATATCTCAATTGTCACTTCTCAATTCCTTATAAATGAGGTCAATTTTCAACCTCCTTTAGCTTAGCCATCTAAAAAATTTCCCTGCTCCCTCCCTATTTCCTCACCATTCTCCATCTCCCCCCCAATACCCCTGCTTACTTTCCCTTCCCATTCCCTTCCTGTTCCCTGCCCCCCTCCTACCCCCTCCTCCCCTGATCCATCCTCATTACACCTCCCCATACCCCCTCCCTTGTCGGAGACTTTGATTCGTGCGTGACACATGTCAGATGATGAGTGCGAACACTATGGACATTGAATGGTTTACATAATTAACGCAACCTTGAATGACCCTTTTAAATCAGTACTCGGCAACAACCAATCAAAATGTAGAAAATATCGTATAAAAGAGTGATTTCTTACAAATTTTGCAGAGTAGCTTTTTACACACCTGATGTAAATAAGCGAATACGAGAGCGAAATAAAACAGTTTAATTGAGTCTCGTTCGTCAGAGTTCTATCCCTAGTAAACAGGACAAAGTTTACAAAACCCTTACCAACCTTACCCCTTCTTACTTCTCTTCCAATTCCCTACCCCTTCCTTCCCCTCTTCCCCTAGCCAATCCTAATTCCCCTTCCCAATCTCCTCTCCATTCTTCTCTGTTCCTCTTTATTCCCTTCACCATTCCCTCTTTCCTTCCATGGTCACATCCTCCTCTTCCAATTCCCTCCTCGTTCATCTCCAGTCCCCTTCCCACTTCCTTTTACCATAAAATTCTCCAGTCTTGTCACTAACCTCATCTCCTTTCAACACTTCTGATCCTTCACTTTCTTTCAATAACTCCTTCTTCTTCTGCAAATCACTTTCTGCATTACTCAGCTAAAATCAAACAAAAAGTTGGGGTTAGACAATTATAAATGTTTGACTGTGTCATGAGGCAGAAATTCACCAGCATCTCACCTCATCCATGGCTTCTTGAAGCTTTTCAGCAACAGCCTCTTTCTTTCGTCCAATAATTGAAGCCTTAAGGACAAAATGGTATCTCATAAATAAAAGAATCCATGCAATCTTACAAAATATTTAGTTCAAGTATTTCTCTGGTTGAACACTGGTATAGCACTTAACTGATATATTAACATTTGTCAATGCAAAACTGGCATTGTTCTTTCTTACAAATGCATTAATGTTACCCAAAGATCCCACGATTAAATTTTTTCCTTGAATCTGATGACACTAAACAAACCACAACAACTAAAAGATAGTGAAGTTTGGAGGATTTTTCAAAAGAAATAACTTACTTGCTGCCTGAAGAGAGACAACTTGTCATCAATAGGATCATTCCTCACCATTCTCTTTTCAATCAGTGTGTTAATTTCTGCTGAGAGTTGTTTAATCTGATGTATATATAAAACAAATGAAACAACACAATCAGACACAACATTAAACATTTTGTTTTACATTTGAAGAGTGTCTTAGTAATAATAATTATGGAGTTCTCTGTCATCTACAAGTATCTTATTAAATAAAACCAAATTATTTTCCTCTGACCCTTTTGTTGAGTTCATCCAAATCAGCCTGACCCATAGCTGGTTCGTCTGCCACTTTTTGTAAATCCTGAGCATACTTCTTTTTTCCTTCCAATTCCTTGTGATTCAAATAAAATATATCACACATCAGTCTGAAACCAATTCAAGTTAGTACCTTGATGACCTTACTCCATATCCTAAATATTACAATAGACAAAAAAAAACAGTTACAGTGTTTTTCTTTAGCAGATCTGTGGCTGACCATTACCTTGGGAAGTTTTTCTTGGCAGAGATAAGCATTAACTTTGTTCTCCTCTTCTAGTCTCTTAATCAGATCTGCAAGTTAAAATGTAAGACTGCATATAAAAGAATCATGATGAAAATTCATCACAAAACTGAGCCAAACTCTCACCTGGTGATGAAATACTTCATAATTGTTAATTCCATGCAAAACTTAAAATATAAAAACACCTCAATTTTAAATTTTCAATGAATATCTATTAAGTTTCCCATTTCGATTCAGTGTCAACTAAGGATGAATACGGAATATCATCAATCAAAATCAGATAAGAGCTTCAAAATGTTCATTACCTGCCCCAGTTGTGCCAACACCCTGAGTCCTCATATCTTTTAACTGTTGTTGCATACGCTGATAACGTTGGTCTGAGTGCAGATACTGTTGAATGTTTTACAAAATGTTTAAATTAGACTTTACTCATGAGATTACAAAAATAGATGTAAGTGTTAAGAGTGACACCCCTGTACCAGTTTAATATCCCAACTATATTAGCTGTGATCACCAATAATCACTGTCAAATGGTTCATTACATGTAGCACATGCCTTGAGTCAGGTATCTTTAAAGTGGGAGCAATATTAGCAAATTTTAAAAAATCTTTTCACTAAATATTAGGCTTGAAACATGCAAGACACATATCATCAATCCAATATTTTAATGCACTTATTTTCCCTAAGACAACTGATTACCTGGTTCTTCTGCTCCAACTTCTGTTGACCAAGTGAGTGTTCCTTTTCTCTCTCAACTCGCAAATTCCGTGCAGCAAGTAACATCTTGTCATAGTTCCGCACATTCTCCACCTAAAATGAGATAAGCTCTGTGTTAAAACTTCCCTTAGTTTTAAGAATTTACAAATGAAACAAGCTGATTATTTAAGAGAGAAGTGATAAGTGATTTGCAAACCACTGACCTATCTATGTGATTGTGTAACAACACAGTAAAATAGGAAACAGAACTTACATCAGTTGTGGTAATTGGGTTTTACCTTTTTTTGCATTCTGTCAATTCTCTTCTGCAGTTGTTCTTTTTCATCTTCCATGTTTACTATGTCCTAAAAGTGAAAGAAATAATAAAAGTTATTCACTGCACACCAACTAAAATCATTTTAATGATGCTGACAGTAACTGCGACAATGATGATGATGATAATGAGATGGGAGACACAGAGCCCTTTATAACAAAATGAACTTTTGGGGGTACTTTTAATTAATGTATTTTAATAATTTAATTGATTTAATATTTTTCTTTCTCAAAGATATGAGCTCAACAGAGCTACTCTGATAATTTGAGTTGAATTAAAGTGTATGTATGTATGTAACAAACCTATAAGTTTTTGTACAGTACTGACCTTTTTTATTTCCCCAGTTGATAGACCAGATGTCCTGAGTTGATCAACTGTCTTGTGGAGATCTTTGAACTGTTCCATCAGTTCTAAATACTGACATCAATAAAACAAATTCAGTGAAGATTTCAATGCTAGTGAACATCACTCAGTAAGGTCAAACCAAATATCTTGTTTACTGTTCTCTATCCAACACTGAAATCCCACCGAGGGGACAATATATTGCAAAAAAGTGATTGCGCATGTCGTAAAAAGTAAGTGTAGAAATGACAATGGTTAGTGATATGTGGTGGATCATTTGACTTGACCCACTACACAGAACTTGTTTAAAGAAATATTCATTATAAAGCCTCACTCAGCCTCTATAGAAGAGGGAGATGCTTACTGGTGCATTTCGCAAAAAAGAAATGTAAATGCTTACATTCTCATTTAGCTCATTTAACTCTTGATCTGCCAGTTGGTCTGGAGGAATCTCTAACTTTACCAAATATCTCGCAAGATAAGCTCTGGTCTTCAATTCTACCAGATTTTCAAAGAGCCATTGAAGAATGGGGTAAATAACCAACTTGTCACCTTGAATGAGCCCATTACGAAAGGCATTCCTGTGTGGTTTTTAGAGAGAATAAGAGATAAATGATTTGTTATAAAGAAGTATGTTACAACTGCAGAAATTCAAGGTGATAGATCAGGGGCTACCACAAAGAAATAACTCTGGTTTCTGTTGGTGAAAATGAATGCCAAGGAAAACTCAGCATCACTAATTCTCTTGACAACAAATAAGAAATGTTATAATTGAATTTGGTTGACTTTCTTGTCACATTCAATGTCTGGAATCTGAAGAGCTTCTGCATTTGTCAAAGCCAAGGATTGTCATTTTGCTAGCCTTAGGTTTATCTACAGTGATAAGTATAGGTTAACTCTTTAACTCCCATGAGTGACCAAGACAGAATTTCTCCTTACAATATTAATACAATATCAAGCAGATAAGTGATCAGAATGAAGAAAAATATCAGTCAGGGGATTATAAGTTGATCCAATATGAAATTCTCAAAAACTAACATCACAAGAATTGTATGGCAGACAGTAAGGAGAATTACTAATGAGATCTTGGGAGTTAAAGGGTTAATATATTAAATGCCTTAAAATCCTTATAGATAGTGATTTGCAATTTAAAAAGGATAAAAATCATTTCATGATTTAATTCCCATGAGCAACCAAGACATAATTTTTCCCTAGAATAATATATATGAAAAAATTATGCACTTTTAATTGGCTGAAAACAAGTCTATTATTATTATTATTTTATTATTATTATTATTATTTATTATTATTATTCCATAGCTGCCTCACAGAGCTACCTGTGTTAAAGAAAGGAGATGACTACGCTACAACCATATCTTGGATAAGGGCGAAAGTATCCTTTGCCATCCTACGATCAGCCTTGCTGTGTCTCAGAGGAACCAGGAGCAAGAGAAGAGCAGCCAATATATCTGACATTGACATTACATCGGAAAGTGCGCAAGCCAGAATTTAAGTAATAACTTTTTATCAGTTTGAACTATCATTTTTAGATAGTTCTTATTTCTTTATTAACTTTTTGATGCTTTTTATAATTGTTATTAGTAGTCTTTAGATAGTCATTTTACGACAATTCTCTTTTGTACACAAGAAGAATGTACAATAGGGTATATATTTTAATATTCATATTCTTGAATCTGTAAATAGTCTAATTTTTTTTAAATCTATGAATAAAGTTTTGATTTTTATTATTATTATTATTATTATTATTCTATTATCATGCAACATGCATGCAAAGTTGTAAAACAAGTGCAAATTACAAATTGCACCCACACTTTCAAAATTTTGTCTGTTTTGACTCACTATGATGTTTTTTCATATACATGATTAACAAGTAATAACATGACTTTTCTTGCAATTTAGTTTTAGTAAACACTTGTAAATTTTCCTTTTACACCACTTGTGCTTATTAACACTGAATTACAGAAATCATGTTATTACCTATACCAATATTACAACAATATCAAGCAGACAAGAGATGAAAATAGAGAAAAATGTAAACTAGGGGATTCATCATCAGTAATTGATCCAATACCAAATTCTCCAAACCAACATCATAAGAATTATATGGCAGACAGTAAGAATAATACTGAGGAGATCTTGGGGGTGAAAGGATTAATATCACTCACAAGCTTCCAGACTCTGTTTTTGGCTTGAATTTCAAGATTCTCAAAAATGTGAACATTCTTTTTGCCATTTGTTCTGGCTCTTCATCTCGAAGATCAATTTTGTGCTGTCGACAAACAAATAATAATAATCTTGAGCAATATTTCAATAAGAAAAACATAAAGGCATATTGTTAGAAAGTTTGCTAGGTAAAAATTTTTCTCAGCTAAAGAGGCTCATACATCACCAACCTGGGGATTTATTTCAGCAAAAACATCATTCAGTACTTGAAGCAACTGTAGTGGCTGCAGAGAATCAAAGCTGAAAGAAAATGAAAGTCCTATGGGTCAAAATTCAAGTTTGAATCAGGTACTTTCCTATTAGATAGATCCATCATAAGCTCTGACAAGCCTGTTTTTCTGAGCTGATTCCAATAAAAGATATAGGTTGTTAAGAGATCCTCGCAGCTAAGAACACTACTAGTGTGTTCTTAGCTGCAAGGATCTCTTAATTTCGTTTCTTCACCGCAGTGCAAATATATGAATTTCATATATCTAAAATCATGATATAAGTTGTGTTTCAAATCTTTCCTTGCAATCACTGAAGTTGTCTTTTCCTCGGTTGAATGTTCGTTATCATAATATGAAAGACAATCAAATAGAAACAACACTGGTTTTAAAATGTGAAAACCAGAAAATTTTGTAAGGACATGTCGTCTGGAAAACTTAAATGGCTTAAAAATTACGAAGGCTAAATTTTGAAAATTATTACAAGGCTTAATTACTTGCCAACCACGCAGTGACATTATTATCGAAGCTGTTTTAGAAAGGAAAATTCAACGGTTACCTTATGAGGTTATAGTTCTTCTTGAAAGGTTCCTTGTTCAGCTCATCCACAATATATTTTAGTTGTTCACTCATGATGGCGGATGGATTTGCAAAGTTGAATGTTTGAAGATCGAACTTTCCTCTTTCAACACCGATTTATCACACGAAGAAGATTTTTTAAGCCATCAAGAAGCATTAACTCCACCCTCGTTCAATATTTAGCCGAAATAAAAACGAATATTACAGGATTTGATGAATTTTCTGCACAGATCAATAAATAAACATAGAAAATGTCGACTACCATGGAGACTTGGACACAATATGGCCGGTCGCTTTTACGTCATGTAAACCGAAGTCAAATAGGGACATTCTTTGTTTTCTTCGTAGGGCACTTTGGTTTTGTCAAACGAAACTGATAAAATCTGCGTTAAGATGAATTGTTGATTATTTTGACAAAGTTAATCGGGAAAACATTATTTTTCTAGTCGTTGAGTACCGTTCTAATTATTTTTAAACAACCAGGGAAAAACCGAAGGATAAAAGGCCCTTTTCAATGAGTACATTTCAGCACCTAATAGAGTCGTTCCTTCTTTGATGAACTTTGGCCCTAACATTTAGGTAATATTTCATCAGTATTTCGTCGCAGAAAATGTCGCAAAGTATGTTCCTCATCTTTATGGTTAAAAAGGCTTAATTTTCAGTGATCTGTTTAGTCATCCGTTAGTCTTAACGTTACTATTATCAGAACGTTCGAACAGCGAAACATCTCGGCGTTTGGATGTAAACAAATTAACCATCTCTGTATGCATGTCTTTGCGTGACTCTTGTGTTGGATAGACAATCTGAGACTCTCTTTTTTTTTAGTTGCAAACGAGTGAAAAAGTCAAGAAAATCTTGAAAGATATCAGATTTCTTTCTCACACAATTCGGATTCTACTTGGGACTGATCAAACTTCACACCTTCCTTCGGTTAAATTAAAATTTGTAGCAACACATAACAATATCATCAGAAATAACATTTGTACTTGCTATTTCTTGCTTTTCAGGCGATCACGAGGAGGATGAAAGTGAAGTTTATGAAGTGATCGAGACTCCGGGATCGAGAAATTTAGTAGAACAACTGATCACTATGGACTTAGCAGGGCGACCAGTTGTTCAACAAATTAGTATCGGGGGAATTTCGGGCTGGTATGTAGATTGCAGCTGAACGTCGATACTTGATTGCGTTTCATGTGATTCTTTAGATTCTGATGGACAAATTGTTTCATGTAAAGAATACTGAGCGTGACTGACTTAATGGCCTCATTCTAAAATGATTTCTCAGAAAAAAAGGCACATTTACTCATTATGTCGAATTAAGATAGCACCTCCATTCCCTGTATTGGAAAACTGCTGATGTAGTAATAAGCTTAATCAGCATCGTAGAAAGAAGGGTTTGAGTACAGTAACAAGAGAGAACATTTCATTATTGTGCTTTGTAATTTCCTTTATTTGTGTTCTTTGTTAAGCTCCTGATTAAGGAAGACTCTAATATGTGAATAGAAGCTTTTGAATTGTTACGTTTAAGAGCTGGTCATTGGCTCAAAGAGTGATTGCGTTGCTGTCATTGCAGGTTTGCTGGGTATGTGTGTAAAAGAGTTGGTAAACTAACACTGTCTGCCATTGGAGGAGGAATACTTCTAATACAGGTTTGCAAACTACTTTCATTGACAGAATTTGGAAAGCTGGTTTACTAACTTTTAGCACACTTCCCTGAACAAATTTCAGCAACTTACAACATAGAAACAGCTTGGACACAACACTGACAGAATAGCCAAATGCAACAAAATGTCCTTACTTCACCAAAGAATCAAAAGTGATCTATCATGACTGACTTAAACTTTAAGAATTGTACAGCCAATTGTATTATAACTAAAACACTACAAGCAGGCTGCTTGGTCCAAGACCTATCATTGATTGCACTGGTAAACCCACAGTTATTTTATAAAAGCAATGGACTGCACTTTATATCAGTCTACCAGCATATCAACTCAATTTGGATCTTGGTAAAACACTAAAAAAGATTTTTTAACTACTCACCCACAGATTGTGATTTACAGACTTTTCTCATGTTCTCAAACATCCTGTGTAAGCCATTACACCAGTAAACAGAATCTGAGGTCTATTGCTTAATAAAACCTCAGAAGAACTGACCAATCAGTTTTCAGGAACCAGATTTATAAAACATCCCTAACAACTCATCACTTGACTCTGGAAATAATTTCTATTTTGGTTGTCAAAACTCAGTCAAAACTCCTCTTTATAGCAACTCTGCTGGAATGATCAAACTTCACAATCAATTTATTATCTTAACTCTTTAACTCCCAGATCAAATTTGTAATTCTCCTTGCTGTCAACCATACAATTCTTACATTTGTTAGTTCAGAGAATTTAGTATTGGATCTACTAATTATCCCCAAATTGATATTTTTCTTTATTCCCATCACTTTTCTGGTTGATATTGTATTGATGTTGTAAGGAGAAATTCTCTCTTGGTCACTCATAGGAGTTAAAGGGTTAAGTGTAATCACACAATATTCACCAGCAGTTCAGCTATGATAAAAATTAACTTTTTCCTTTACCTTCTTAGGTTGCTCACAGAGCTGGTTACATCAACATTAACTGGAAGAGAATGGAAAAGGATGTAGATAAAATTACTACAAAGGTTAAAAAGGAAGTAAAAAAGATGAAACAAAATGAGGAAGAAATTGAAAAGGGAGTTATTGCTCTCGCAAACAGGGTATGAAAAAAATCCTAAAGTTGAAATTTTATTTATTTCGAACTTAATTTTTTGTGGTTGGTGTTTTCAATTTTTTTTCTGCATTTGACAATTAGATCAATTCTCTATAGCCCTTTGGTGAACTCTACCTAATAATATGACGGCAAAACTGTTTAAAAATTTGTGATAGTCTTATGAATGCATCAGTATTCAAAGGGAAGGTTAAGAGAGGTGATAAAAATATCGGATGAGCCTTTACCCTTTAACTCCCATGAGTGACGAAGCCAGAATTTCTCCTTACAATATCAATACAATATCAGTCAGATAAGTGCTTAAATTCTTAAACAAATGGTTCTCATTATTCAAACTATTTTTCTTTTCAGGGCTACAGATATGTAAAACGGAATACAGCTGCAGCAACAGGCTTTGCTGGTGGTTTTCTCCTTGGCTTGACTTTATAATTAGTGGTACTCAAAACAAAAGCTTGTGTTAAACACGAAATTATTCTCTACAGCTTGAACGTCAAACTAGTATATCACTTTCCTTAGTCATTGTGCATGAACAGTGCATAAATTAACTGAAACAGTATTTTGGTTGAAGTAACTTAAAAATAATTTTTTAAAATATTACTAATGACTTTTTCATAAATTCTCAAAAAGTCTTGTCCAACTTCAGGTAAAAACTGTTAATCCTTTCACCCCTGAGAGTGATAAGCATCTAATTTCTTTTACCAGTATCACCCCTAAATCAAACATTAAGGTCATGAGAATAAAGGAAATGATCACAAGGTCAAGAAGCTATTGATTATTAAGCAAATTCTCCTTGTCAGGACAATGGAAAACATATAGAGAACAGTGTGGAGACCTTGGGAACTGACATATGGTGAAATGGGTTAAGGAACAGTAAAGGATTTTTAAGTACACAGCATAAAATATGACCTGTGTATGTAGAAATTTTATTTTATTATGATATCACAAACTGCTTAAATTATTCAATAAAGTTACTGTCTTCAAGTCAGCTGCAATGTGCATAAACAGACTTCAAAAACTTCTGTAAGTCAACTCTTATCTGCTGATTTTCTTGCTGGCTGACAGTGCAGAGATCAACTTATTTCAGCCTATGTAGGTGCCTCACTTGTTTACTCTTGCTCCCTGGGTGAAGTCCTTCACTACCTCTCTCTGTTCATTGCTTTTTGCTTCTCAAGTTCTGTTTGAAGCCCAAGCACAGTTCAGTGTTTATGGCTGAAATCTTTTGACAACATTTCTTCATGTTGTTAATCACATGTTGGCACCTGTCCTCTTGATAATTAAATTCTTGGTGGAAAATACAGAAGATATGAAATAATAATTATTATCAAAGTGATTCCTATCATATTTTAGGCAGGGTTTAATTTTGATAAAGGATTTGAATTGCTTCAAGTCGGTTCTAACATCTCCATCCTCCAACTCACACCTAACCCATTCCCCCTCCCCCCCACATCCAATCTGTACTGCCCCATCAGTTCACATTTTCTAAGTTGATTTGATCGTGTCTTCTGATCATTCAGAGAAGCCCTGAGAAGGACTATTGTCACTAGTAGTGAATTTTCGTCATCCTTAACAGAATTCATCACCAAAGTCACGTACTATTACTGACAAAGTCCTTCCTTGTTCAGGACTACTATTATTTGGACGATCAGAATATCAAATGTCACTCCTGGGTTCAAATCAGTTGTACTGTATAAAGATGAGTACATGTACAAATATTCATGGTCGGCATTGATGCTTGTGTGAAAAAAAGAAAAGAAAAATTTTGGTGGCCGAAGTAATTTCATGAGCTTGGAACAATAGCAATAAGAAGACTTGGACCTCTCTAAATTACCTAGCCATGAACTGCCGGTTCATGTGTGATTAGCCTTAAGAATAATTTCGCACCTCGTAATTATACGAGATTGCCTTGCAAACAGTTCTGGATAGATTGACTACAAGTTTGTTATTTTACTTCATTATTTTTTGTAACTTAATAGTTCATTTTGTAAAGTTCTTTAAGTTGTAGGTGGTTTTAGGTGGTTTTTAGGTGGTTTTAGGTTGTAACATGTTTTAGTACTTACCATGGGTATGTAATGCAAGGTTCAATGCTGTTACCACTCTGTAGTTTGTGGTAGAAATCTGTTCTTTGTTTCTCAACCACATCACCTAATTTCTTTTTTTTTATGTTTTCATTGAGGCCTTGCTGTAGACAAGCAAGTTTATGAAATCAACTGGTTGCCTCTGAAATGTTATGAAGTGTTCTGATGATGATGATGATTGCAATTTAAAGGCCACCCTCTCATCAGGTTACAAGTTGACAAAATATGCCATCGTAATTATTGTTTTGAATAAACTAGCAAATGATCTAGCGTGGTTGATGAATGTAGTTGGTTTAAAAAGTGTACCTATTATAATTTGCAAAAGGATGCACTCCCTAAGTATTCTGTCTCAGGAACTTGCCATTCAAATCTAATAAATCAAATTCTTTGAGCTTTTCATTGTGTGAAGCTCTGGTATCACGACTATTTAACCTTTTCACTCCCAAGATCTGATTAGTATTTCTTCTCACTGTCTGCCATAGAATCTTTTGGTATTACCAAGGAGAATTTAGTATTGAATCAGTGTAAAGTCCATCAACTTATATTCTGCTTTATTCTCGTCACTTTTCTTCTGAATAACGTACTGATGTTGTAAGGAGAAGTTCTCTCTTGGTCAATCATGAGAGTTAAAGGGTTAAGTGCTCGCTAACTGAAAATTGAATGAATATTTCAACAAACCCACTCAAACTTCCCTTCCCCACCACCGCACGCTTGGTTATGTTAGAGGAAAAACTCTTTTAGATCTACTACCCCTGGTAGGCTTTAGGGAAGCTGTATACTATACTCTGTTTCCCGACTTTTCAACTGGAACAACGAACCGCCTTTACAAGGACAATGGGAGTTAATTCATAGAACAAAACAGTAGTGGAACCTCAAAAAAATGTGTGCTGGATATACCGTATACCTTGAATAGGCGCTCTTACCCAAGGCACAATGTTATGCAAGTGCGCCCATCGAATTAGCGTTGCTCATTCCTCACTTTCTACTGTGGGGTTACAAGGAAAACCTGCTTCTAATGCCACTTTATTTATGACTTTTTAAGCTTTAACAACAGCAGAATCAGCACCAGAGAGTGGTTTCTTTTCTGTTAAAGTCACCTCCAGTTATTTCTATCTCCTTATGCGTGCAGTGTTCTTTATTTATTTGCTTTTTTTTTCTGCGCTCACTCAGTAAGGGGCCCCCTTTCAATGAGCCCCCCCCCCTCTATTTAGCCGGGCGAGCGCTCATTCGAGGAAATTGGTAACTGGTTCAGTTGTGGTAGACTATCAGCAGAAGCCCCCACTTTCCCGTCTGTGCCTCTACTTAGAGAAACTACAGTACAAGTGCCGTGTTTTTGAAGCAGGCGTGTGATCGATCGTCAGCTGTAATGTGTCGCCCGAAGGGTACTAAATCGGTTAGAGGGCGTCACACTTCCAGCTCGAAGGTTCCAACTTTACAAGTAATTTATTACAAACTCTTTACTAAGGGCTAACAATACAAAATTTAGTCACAAGATTAGCACAACATTACTGGAGAGGTCGTGTAATCAAAGGCAATTGCGCAACTAAGTTCCTTATTCGTAGTGCGCATATTGGTGTCGTATGCATATGTTTTCTAAGTATGCCAGGGGTGAGGGGTGGGGGGGGGAATTCCCGTTTTTTCGGTACAATATGGCTCAGCGTCAGCTGAGCGGAAGGTAGAGTTGCTTTCGTTTATACCGAGGTACGGATCGCGTTATCAGTGCTTAGTCTCGTTTCTTGTACAAATAAAAAAGATGAATTAAGTTTTTTTTTTAATAGATGCAGAATCAATTATGCCCCATACGGCTACTACTGATCCCGCATCTCCGCTAGGAACGCTTCCAAGTCCCCAACCACGATGTCGAATGATGGCCTTGCTTCGGGATCCTGATTCCAGCACCTTTCCATGAGTTGCCAGCATTGTTCTGGAAACACGTCCAATCTCTCTGGCGTCTTGTTGTCACATGCATTCATCACGAGCATAACCAGAGGGTTAAAGTGGCGGTGTATATTCTTTGGTAGGTTGCCCTGGCCTTCGCACACTCGCCAGAGCAACATACCGAACGCATACACATCAATGGATTTGTCGTACTGTTGTTTCATCATTTCGGGCGCCATATTGAGAGGAGTACCAACCAACGAGTTATTGATGAGACCCTCGGGTTTACAGAGACCCAGATCTGTTAACTTGGCGTTGTTTTTCTCGTCCAACTGAAAGGAGAGAAAAGGAGAAAATCGAATTTGCTGGTCCAAAAATGTATTGTACCACTTATATGCTGTATAAATTCAGAATACTATTATTTCTAAGTCCCCTTTTGGTTCAATAATCGGCTCCTCTTATGGAACTCTTCATAAGCAAAGCCTTACATAGTAAACACCCACCACAGCCCCATTTATTTTACAATCAAGGCTAACAGGCAGTCTGACGGTACTCACCAAGACGTTTTGCATTTTAACATCGCGATGGATCAGCTCCTCTCCGTGAAGATACTGCAAGGCTTTGGCAACGCCAAGAGCTATCTCAAGCCTCTTTCTCAGGGAGGGTATACCCGCTAAGCCATCATCAAGATCGCATCTCATTCGCTCCGAGACAAGTTGCACAGAAAGGCCACGAGTTGGGTTGGACTCCACTACGGTGCACATAACTGGTAGAATGTTCGGATGGTGGAGAGCTCTTAAACCAAGAAGTTCATTTTAGTAAATTGTTGGAATAAGAAAAGACGAGGGCTTGAATAGCTTTCAAGAATTTCCTTAATCATCCGAGTGTTCAGATAAACCCCTGTCAACATGGAAAAAAGGAATCCCATTTGCCCTTCTGAAATGATTTCTCAAAATACGGGCGAATCTGTATCGATAACTCCAAACGAACCCATCGACCAATGAGACCGCGCGTTGTTTCGCACCTATTTCAAAACGTTACGTTACTTTACCATCTTGATCTTGCACATTACCTGGTACTATGAAGTTCCAGGGTCAAGTCCTTGAGCACCTCCTCTGAAGCGACACTTACCACCTTAACAACACAGGGCCTTCCTTCTGGAGTTTTAATGTTGTCACAGGCGAAGACCTCGCCCTGTGCACCGGTCCCAATGCGCTCTCCTTTAGCTGGAAAACCAAACTTGAACCTGTCCATGACACCATATGCCAGCATCTCAAGAAGAGCAAGACTGGGAGCAAAGCCAAGAACAGTTTCCCTCTGCATATCCTTGATGGTCTGTCCGCGATCGAACAGTCCTTGGACTTTTTCTATTTCACCGGTGAACTCTTTATGGCATTTACAAAAGTGCTGTTTCAAGCTGGTGGTGATTGTCTGAGCCATGTCAGATGGATCTACTTTCGCGAGGACATCTGAAGCAACATTTGTCTTCCATTTCTTCGAGCCAACAGGAACCTCTCCACTGATGGCCTTCGTAAGTGTGCCGATCGGATTACAAATCACCTTGTAAAACCACCCGATTGATTTCTTTATGAAATGGGAAAAAGTTCCGTCGTGTTGTGAAAACGTGATTTGAGCTTCGTAAGAAGAAAGAAGGCTTTTGCCAAGAGCTATTGCTGCCGATGGAATTTCATTATCTCTGGTAATTTCTCTTTGAATTTGCTCTACGTCGTCTTTGAGGTGAACAAGGAACAGATCTCTGGAGCGGAAAATCATTGTTAACGTTTGATTGATCTCTCCCTGGAGTTTGTTGACCACCATCCGCTCAATCTGGTCCTGACAGCAAGTCACAGCTGCTTTCTCTTTTACATGGCCACTTGACGGAATGGAAAATTCGGTCAAAGCGTATTCAAAATCTCCTGCCTCTTTTAGGATGTCATCTCTAGCTCCAATTATGGCATCACTGAGCAGTTCTTGTATATATATGGCCCGCTTTTCGTCCTGCAGATCGCGGATTATGTTCTCGTGAACTTGCTGTTCCTCGTGCAAAAGTCTTTCCAACGTCTTCAATATTTGCTTCTTTCCCCTTTTCAAAACATTGGCTTTCTGAATGAAGAAATCCAGGCATCTGGATAGAACACGCACGAGGGTTTTGCACACACACTCGACCCTTGCACGAAGAGATTCTTCAGCGAACTTTTTCAAGCTGTTTTGAAATCTTTCAAAGGCTTCCGTGTAATCCGTAAACTCCTCGAAAGAAGCTTTGGGATTTTTCTTCTTCATAGCGTGGTACTTCTTAATGCGCCAAGCTGACAACCCATGGAATTGCTCGTTTTGATTCATGGGCTGTTGAGAAGAAAAATGGCCGTTTTTGACAAGCCGCTCGTACACCCGTGTCTTCTTTCTTTCCTGTACTTCTCTTTCCTTCTCTCGCATTTTCCGTGCCTTCGCTGATGCTGCATGACGGCTTGATTCATCGTCCTCATCTGATGATTCGGTACGATCTTCTGGTTCCAGTTTGCTAACAACGAAAAAAATCGTTGAATCGGTCCCTGTGGATGTCATTTCATTCAGGACCTCTCTATCCTGGCAAGGAGACAAATAACAATTGGTATTAATTGATGATAAGACCATCAACTATTAGATCTTTTTCACGCATAGAAATAGAGAGCGAATAATCTAATCGTTTTATTATAAATCTGCTAATTATTCAAAACTTTATAACAAAACAAGCTCAAATAGTTAATTTACCTTGTTTACAATCCCACAATATTACTAGTAAGCCACTCGCTTTACTCATTATATCAGGCGAATAGCGTAGCCAATCAGATTGCAGCAATTGGATTTAGCAACCCACGGCAATCACGCGGACGACAGTGATTGCCTTGGGTTGCCAATTCCGAATGCCGAATTTATTTCGTAATAAATGCAACAGCAAGCAAACCAGAGTAAAAGCTATGCTGATGTTGTGGTGTATACGTTCTTGTCGTTGCACGGCGTTTTCGTGTAAATTTAAACCACGACTGTTTAATTTCGAAAAGAGCAAACTTTTGCCTTGATAAGCTTCGTATTTACAAACTACTCTAATCGAATTACTGATTCATGACTCAATATTTAAAGGACACAGTCCAAGTGACTCACAGAACATGGCACTTGGTATAGTTTCGATCTTAATACAACCCGGAAATACTAATTGTAACCAATCGAGGAATCGATCGTGTTAACAACAAAAACCTTACCTGCTCAGTAAAGAGATCATGTCCATCCACCACGTAAATAACAAACGCCTGGGGATTTTCCAGCTGCTTTTTTACCAAGTTGTCCAGCGCTTTATTTTCATTTCTTCCAGGGGAGTCAATGATGGTTACACCACACTTCAAGAACTCGATATTTAAACCGGTCTCCACGATCGCTCCCACTTTACTAGGGTCACCACGATCCTCTGATTTGAGCTCGATCTTCTTTCGAGGGATTATGTTTCCATTCTTGCCTTTCATCTTTATCTCTTCCAAGGTTTTACCATCTATGTCAACCAGGCGACAATAAGGCTCCTCGGCGTGGCAAACGCGAACAATTCTCGCGGTGCTCGGTTGATCTGATGTAGGAAGCGCTTTACAACCTAGGAGCTCGTTGATTATGGAGCTTTTTCCGCAGTTGGTTTGCCCGACAAAAATGAGTGCCGGCTCCTGATCAAACAAATCGGTAACTTTCTTCTTCTCCTTAGCTGTGTAAAGCAGTTCAGCAAGGGCGTTATCGAACTCCAGATGAACATCCGCCATTGCCGCTGTTTGAACCATTACTTGAACTTCGTTTGGAGAAGCTTGCACGGCTAAGGTTTTGTAGCGAAGTTCTTCTGCAATATCTGCAGTGCCTTTATCGGAAAGCTTTCGAACGATTTCACCGAAGTATTCTACTGTGTCATCGTGAACTTTTTTCAGCACAGCCTTGCTTTTCTTGAAATTCTCGAACACGTCTTGAAGCGCCATGGCTCGACGACTCGACGAGATCGATCGATCACCTTATATGAAATTTTAAAAATCTGGTACGGACTCGTGTATGATAGAAGACTGGAGCACACCGTCCGCAGTGTCTTGCTATACCAATCCTCATTGTTACATCATGTTATAACTAATGTTATGACATGATTTAAAAACTCTCAATTTTCCATCAGAAGATTTCCTTATTAAGTTCGAACGTTACTCGTTGGATCTTACTAAAGGTCCCCAGGTTGACAACAGCGCAAGCGATTCAAAACGAAAATGACAGACCTATCAAAAATAATCTGGGAAGTTGGCTATCCAGTATTTCCCGTCAACGATCTATTACAGTTACAGTTAGCTTGAAAGTTCTTGCTCTTTTCATCTCGTCTTGGGCGGCTGCGAGGGCCGACAGTATTGGTTGAATTAGATGAAAATTGAGTTCAATTCTGCTAGTGAATCCCCTGCTCTGACTGGTAAAATTGATATAAAAGAAAAACAGGAAAAAAAACAAAACAAAACAAAAAGAAAGAGCAAAGACAAAAACAAAAAGACAAGTTGCTGATGATAGCAAAGTTGTGTACAAAGAAACATTTATAATGAAGGGGAAGGTCAATGAAAAACGAAATCCGTACCAGGAAATTCCGAGTCCAGTCCAATCTTCCCTTGCATGTCTGGATGTCACGAGACATGTTATTATTGTCTAGTTTTTGCGAGAATCTGAATGAACCAGGAATCAAAGTGAATTCTAGAAATAAGCGTGGTTTGTCGTGCTCGTCTGTACAGTATCAAGTCCCTTTGCAAACCTTTATACTGAATGAGATCCAGCCTGATCGTCACTGTGAAGAAATGGCTTCCCGTGAGGGTGAGAAAATTGGAAATGTTGATTTGAAGTGGTTCATGTTTTCAGAATTACGAAAGTCTGCAGTCTGGCCACTCTATTAACATGCAAGAGGAAATATATTTGCAACTGGTTGCGGAATGAGAGCCTAAACTAAGTAATACTTAAGCTTTGTAGGGGAGTTAAACGAAGCCAAACTTCATTAAGATTGGGCTAAGAGTACAACCGACATTTTAGTAAGAGAACCTTACCTACCTTCGGTACTTACTCTAAACTGTCACTGATCATGCAGACGAAAACCAAAAGTCACCAGCCTCTCTTTATTTCGTTTATGTATTATTAGAAGTTATGTTTCCATTACGAAAATCGTTCCCACAGTTAAGGCATTATATTCTTTGGAATAGTAACAAAAAATCAAACAGAACAAAACAGAAAATACAGAAGATATGAAATAATAATTATTATCAAACTGATTACTATCATATTTTGGATATGGTTTAATTTTGGGAAAGGATTTTAATTGCCTTAAGTCGGTTCTTACATCTCCATCCTCCAACCCACACCTAACCCAACCCTCCTCCCCCCCACATCCAAACTATACAGCCCATCAATTCGCATATTCTGAATTGATATGATCATGTCTTCCGATCGTCCAGAGAAGCCCTGAGAAGGACTGTTGTCAGTAGTAATGAATTTTCGTCATCCTTGAGAGAAGTCATCACTAAAGTGACTTATTATTATTGACACAGTCCTTTCTTTTTCAGGACTACCCTTAGTTGGACGATCAGAATACACTATCAAATATCACTCCTGAGTTCAAATCAGTTCCACTGTGTAAAGTTGAGCACAAGTACAAATGTTCATGGTCGGCATTGATGCTTGTGTGAAAAAAAGAAAAGAACAATTTTGGTGGCCGAAGTAATTTCATGAGCTTGGAACAATAGCAATGAGAAGACTTGGACCTCTCTGAATTACCTAGCCATGAACTGCTGGTTCATGTGTGATTAGCCTTAGGAATAATTACGCGCCTCGTAATTATACGAGATTGCCTTGCAAACAGTTCTGGATAGATTGACTACAAGTTTGTTATTTTACTTCATTATTTTTTGTAACTTAATAGTTCATTTTGTAAAGTTCTTTAAGTTGTGGGTGATTGTAGGTGGTTTTTAAGTGGTTTTAGGTTGTAACATGTTTTAGTACTTACCATGGGCATGTAATGCAAAGTTAAATGCTGTTACCACTTTGTAGTTTGTGATAGAAATCTGTTCTTTGTTTCTCAACCACATCACCTAATTTCTTTTTTTTTAATGTTTTCATTGAGGCCTTGCTGTAGACAAGCAAGTTTATGAAATCAACTGGTAGCCTCTGAAATGTTATGAAGTGTTCTGATGATGATGATGATTGCAATTTAAAGGCCACCCTCTCATCAGGTTACAAGTTGACAAAATATGCCATCGTAATTATTGTTTTGAATAAACTAGCAAATGATCTAGCGTGGTTGATGAATGTAGTTGGTTTAAAAAGTGTACCTATTATAATTTGCAAAAGGATGCACTCCCTAAGTATTCTGTCTCAGGAACTTGCCATTCAAATCTAATAAATCAAATTCTTTGAGCTTTTCATTGTGTGAAGCTCTGGTATCACAACTATTAAACCTTTTCACTCCCAAGATCTGATTAGTATTTCTTCTCACTGTCTGCCATAGAATCTTTTGGTATTACTTAAGAGAATTTAGTATTGGATCAGTATAAAGTCCACCAAGTTATATTCTGCTTTATTCTCATCACTTTTCTTCTTGATAATGTACTGATATTTTAAGGAGAAGTTCTCTCTTTATCAATCACGAGAGTTAAAGAGTTAAGTGCTCGCTAACTTAAAATTGAATGAATACTTCAACAAACCAACTCAAACTTCCCTTCCCCACCACCGCACGCTTGGCTATGTTAGTGGAAAAACTCTTTTGGATCTACTACCCCTGGTAGGCTTTAGGGAAGCTGTATACTATACTCTGTTTCCCGACTTTTCAACTGGAACAACAAACCGCCTTTAAAAGGACAATGGGAGTTAATTCATAGAACAAAACAGAAGTGGAACCTCAAAAAAATGTGTGCTGGATATACCGTATACCTTGAATAGGCGCTCTTACCCAAGGCACAATGTTATGCAAGTGCGCCCGTCGAATTAGCGTTGCTCATTCCTCACTTTCTACTGTGGGGTTACAAGGAAAACCTGCTTCTAATGCCAATTTATTTATGACTTTTTAAGCTTTAACAACAGCAGAATCAGCACCAGAGAGTGGTTTCTTTTCTGTTACCGAGGCACGGATCGCGTTATCAGTGCTTAGTCTCGTTTCTTGTACAAATAAAAAAGATGAATTAAGTTTTTTTTTAATAGACGCAGAATCAATTATGCCCCATACGGCTACTACTGATCCCGCATCTCCGCTAGGAACGCTTCCAAGTCCCCAACCACGATGTCGAATGATGGCCTTGCTTCGGGATCCTGATTCCAGCACCTTTCCATGAGTTGCCAGCATTGTTCTGGAAACACGTCCAATCTCTCTGGCGTCTTGTTGTCATATGCATTCATCACGAGCATAACCAGAGGGTTAAAGTGGCGGTGTATATTCTTTGGTAGGTTGCCCTTACCTTCGCACACTCGCCAGAGCAACATACCGAACGCATACACATCAATGGATTTGTCGTACTGTTGTTTCATCATTTCGGGCGCCATATTGAGAGGAGTACCAACCAACGAGTTATTGATGAGACCCTCGGGTTTACAGAGACCCAGATCTGTTAACTTGGCGTTGTTTTTCTCGTCCAACTGAAAGGAGAGAAAAGGAGAAAATCGAATTTGCTGGTCCAAAAATGTATTGTACCACTTATATGCTGTATAAATTCAGAATACTATTATTTCTAAGTCCCCTTTTGGTTCAATAATCGGCTCCTCTTATGGAACTCTTCATAAGCAAAGCCTTACATAGTAAACACCCACCACAGCCCCATTTATTTTACAATCAAGGCTAACAGGCAGTCTGACGGTACTCACCAAGACGTTTTGCATTTTAACATCGCGATGGATCAGCTCCTCTCCGTGAAGATACTGCAAGGCTTTGGCAACGCCAAGAGCTATCTCAAGCCTCTTTCTCAGGGAGGGTATACCCGCTAAGCCATCATGAAGATCGCATCTCATTCGCTCCGAGACAAGTTGCACAGAAAGGCCACGAGTTGGGTTGGACTCCACTACGGTGCACATAACTGGTAGAATGTTCGGATGGTGGAGAGCTCTTAAACCAAGAAGTTCATTTCAGTAAATTGTTGGAATAAGAAAAGACGAGGGCTTGAATAGCTTTCAAGAATTTCCTTAATCCTCCGAGTGTTCAGATAAACCCCTGTGAACATGGAAAAAAGGAATCCCATTTGCCCTTCAGAAATGATTTCTCAAAATACGGGCGAATCTGTATCGATAACTCCAAACGAACCCATCGACCAATGAGACCGCGCGTTGTTTCGCACCTATTTCAAAACGTTACGTTACTTTACCATCTTGATATTGCACATTACCTGGTATTATGAAGTTCCAGGGTCAAGTCCTTGAGCACCTCCTCTGAAGCGACACTTACCACCTTAACAACACAGGGCCTTCCTTCTGGAGTTTTAATGTTGTCACAGGCGAAGACCTCGCCCTGTGCCCCAGTCCCAATGCGCTCTCCTTTAGCTGGAAATCCAAACTTGAACCTGTCCGTGACACCGTACGCCAGCATCTCAAGAAATGCAAGACTGGGAGCAAAGCCAAGAACAGTTTCTCTTTTCATATCCTTGATGGTCTGTCCGCGATCGAAGAGTCCTTGGACTTTTTCTATTTCACCGGTGAACTCTTTATGGCATTCACAAAAGTGCTGTTTCAAGCTGGTGGTGATTGTCTGAGCCATGTCAGATGGATCTACTTTCGCGAGGACATCTGAAGCAACATTTGTCTTCCATTTCTTCGAGCCAACAGGAACCTCTCCACTGATGGTCTTGACAAGTGTGTCGATCGGATTACAAATCGCCTTGTAAATCCACCCGATTGATTTCTTTATGAAACCGAACAAAGCTCTGTCGCCTTGTGAAAGCGTGATTTGAGCTTCGTAAGAAGAAAGAAGGCTTTTGCCAAGAGCGATTGCTGCCGATGGAATTTCAT